TTTTCTTTAGATATATCGTTTAAATAACAATAATTATCTTTAAAACTTCATTAAATGCCGTTTTATTGTTAAAAAAACATTTTTACAACATTAAAATTTTTGGCTGCTAGGCCGCCAGGCCGCTAGGCCGCCAACTTCACAAAAATGACAAAATTAAAAAAATCTCTGAAAGTGATTTTTTCTTGAGATATATCGTTTAAATAACAATAATTATCTTTAAAACTTCATTAAATGCCGTTTTATTGTTAAAAAAACATTTTTACAACATTAAAATTTTTGGCTGCTAGGCCGCCAGGCCGCTAGGCCGCCAACTTCACAAAAATGACAAACTTAAAAAAATCTCTGAAAGTGATTTTTTCTTTAGATATATCGTTTAAATAACAATAATTATCTTTAAACTTCATTAAATGCCGTTTTATTGTTAAAAAAAACATTTCTAGAACATTAGAATTTTAGGCCGCCAGGCCGCCAGGCCGCTAGGCCGCCAACTTCACGCCGCTAGGCCGCCAGGCCGCTGGGCCGACAAACTTCACGCCGCTAGGCCGCCAGGCCGCTAGGCCGCCAACTTCACGCCGCCAGGCCGTTTAGGCCGCCAGGCCGCCAACTTCACGCCGCCAGGCCGCCAGGCCGCCAACTTCACACATCTTGATAATTGCTTGTTCATTTCGCATTATTGACAATGAATAGGATGATATGTGGTATCACTAATTAGTGTTTGTTGTGTTGGTTTTGAAGTCACGTCGACACTGTAAAAGTAAGGCGACTTTCTCGCTTTTCTGTTGGATGAAGATTTAAGGTGCCTCCCGTGGTCTCCTCGTTCTTAGGGCCACTGACGGACATTAAGCCAGCTTGATAGCTTCTTTAACTGTCGGTATTCGAATCTACAGCAATAATGGGTACCTGATTTTAAGTCAACGATCTTTACTACTCATACCACTTAAAGCTGTGGGTCCAAATGTATGTTTACATTATAATATGGACGTTTTTTAGACGGCATGGGGAAATAAATAACAACAAACTCAATGCATGTATTTGAATATTTTATAATAGTTAACAACGGTCACTCAATTTTGAAATTAAATACAATCTGACAAATAAATCAAATATAACCCGTAATTGACAGGAATAAAGCATACAATATGAAACTGAATTTGAACAAATTTTGAAAATAGCTTCGCTTTTCTGCCCTATTTGCTCGTAAATAACTGATTTGCATTTTCGTTTTGCAAACTTATATACCATGTACATCATATAGTGACATACCTTTAAACAAGTCTATGCATTTTAATCATTCTTTAACATGCATGTTATATATATATCATGCAGTGTTGAGATATATGCCCTACCAAGTACAGGCAGTCAGTGTCTGAAAAGCAGTTACAAAAGCAAGCAGTTTTTATGGTGTGTATTAATATTTAGGCTTGACATAATAGTAAAATAATAATCCCAAGTAAGTTTATAATACTAGCGAATTAACAAGCACATATTTGTCTAAAATTAGTTATATGTTTGATTAAGTAGTATCCTTTATTCATAACAAAGTAGTTACAATAAATATTAATTTTAACAATGGGGCATGTCTTAATTCACTATATAGTATTTTTATTTCATTTTAGCAAAAGGTTTGCCTACAATTAAGTGTTTGTTTGATTGGTCAGATATTTTAATTCTTTACACAGTTTTCACAATGAATATCAATTTTAACACGACTCTAATGCCCCAATTCGCTCTATAGTTTTTCAAAAAAAGTAAAGTTTATTCCAATTACCTTTCTCTTAAATACTGTCTAATATCGATTTCATATTTAATACAAAAGTTATATTCAAAGCTTTTGGTTAAGAATATCAAATTAAATAAATGTATGCTTTGGAAAATATCCATATTCCTTACGTAAGACAGCCAACCATGCTTCTACAATGGCAATGTTAAGACTGCTATGACTTAACTCAAATCCCTCTGAAATTGTAGCCTAGAGATTATATATAACATAAGAAATGTATCTATACCTGCATTTTCATATTAGTCTTCTAAACAAAATTTTACAAATTCTATACCTGGTAAAAAACATATTTTATATAAGACATACTAAATTCCTTATCAATCTGTAATTTTCATGTAATTTTGTTGTGATTAATGCTTCCGAGAGATACACTTTTTCCAGATTTTTAAAACTTAATTCCTGTCATTAACACTATACCACAATTGCTAATTCTAATCGCATTTCGAGGTTAGGTAACTTACAAACATATTTCCAATTCCATTAATTTACCGTTCATTTCTGCAGCATTTAGGTAAAATCATTACAATTCATTTCCATGTTTCATAATATTCATACATTATATATTAATGCATGTATTAAATAATTGTCAGTACATACTAGATGCAATAACCCTGTACTTGACCCATATCAAGGTATCGCAATATTTGACTGACCTTTTGTTATTGTTTGAGACAATGTAGTGAAACATAAACATATGATTTAATTTAGAAGAAGCGTGTAAATTATACAAAATGTTACATTTTTCGGATTGAAAATGTCAGAAAGAAAAGTGAAAACAAAAATGTTCAAATAAATGTACTGGACGTTTTGTTATATAAAGCAAATAAAAAATTGTGATAGAAAAACATTGATGTTCTCTTTGTAACTCAAGAAGAAAGAAAAGTGAAAACACAAACGTTCAAATAAATGTACTGGACATTTTGTTATATAAAGCAAATGAAAATTGTGATAGAAAAACATTGATGAACTCTTAGTAACTCAGGATACCCCATACTAGTGTTGCTGTTTTATAAAGTCGTACCGTTAATTATGCAACATCTAATATTGCAATTTCAGTCTATGTACGTCTTGATGTCCTTAAACCAATGTTTTAATTAACTTAAAGTCAGAACTAGAGAGAAAAACGCCAATTAGTAAATATGAAACTCTAAAATTGTATTATGTATGTAAAAAATAACTTGCACTGAAAATCAAACAGTTTTTTTCTGAACTATTCATATATAAAGAGACTTTTCTTACTGAACAAAATTGAGAAACAATAACAAATATCTAAGGTAACGAAACGAAACATATACATTACAAAGATGGAACTCATTCCATGCCAGTCATATGTGTAAAGTTTAAAATGTAACTGTACATCCCTTTAATAACGAAAATATGATTTATTTAGACTAAGTGGACATACTTATTTATGACTCAACATATACTGACATATTATCTACACATTTTTAGCTTTTAATGGAACAACAACGCAATGAAATATATCCGTTTCATGTTGTGGAAGAAAATACATTATAATTTACAAATGAAACATTGAAAATCATTACCTTATATATAAGTTAAGAAATGAAGGTATAAATATTCATGTTGACTGTGTATAGCAAAACGTGTTGATATCAATCACACAAATAAAAAAAACTTATTACATGTAAGGGTAAAACTATAACTTTTACTTATTGCTCTTAAATTGATAAGAAAATTTATTTATAAAATTCACTGGATAAAAACAGAACAATTTAATTCGACTTCTTATATATTTCAATCATAATCTGAAGACAGGAAAAAATAAGATTAAAAATGTTATGAAACCAAGTAAGTGCAAACACATGTGTAAAACACAGATAGGAGTTCCGAACAGGATTATGTGTTCGATTTAATGAAGAGTCCCATTGCATTATACGTCACTGATATACTCAAAAAGCTTCAAAGACAGCGCAAAGAATGATGAACAATTTTGTAATGATTGCTGCAATTAAAATTGAGACGCCACTGAGCAAGCAAACAATTGACGACATGATATACATACATATATGACAGTTATAAATAACATCAAAATAATATAATACACCTGTATTTGATTGTTGAAATACTAACATACATTTGGTCCAATACTGAATATTTACACTATTTACACACTTATGAAAAGAAAAGGCGATGTTCTCCACTACAAATCAATAGTAGTTTAGTTTAATCAACAATCATTGTCAAGTTATTGTTTAATATAACACTTAATGTTATCTAAAATGGAAAACATGAGCTCTGTTTAGTCACTTATTTTCAATTTTTTGCTTTCTGCTAAACTCGAGCTCTTTTAGTGTTTAGTGACATACAGAGTTGTTTTCTGCTACCATTTCTGATCCGTAAAACAGAGATGACCGGAGGATTTGAATGTCTCAATCATAGTGATATTTTGACCAATCAATTCGTGATAGAATACTTTTGTGTATCAACAACCATTTCATATTGCAACAGCAAACATTCTTTTCAAAGATATTCATTTAATTTTGCGTATGGAACCATGTAATATATGTTAAATGTTTTAGGCACTGTCCATCAATCGGTACTAGATCACCCTCTACTACTTTTATCAATTTCTGCTAATTTTTGCTATTTTGTCAGCGCAGTGCAAAAATGTCATTTTCCCAAGACCAATCACACATACCCTGTGAAAGATAGGCTTGAATGTGAAACATTTATAAGCTTATTTTAGCACGTTGTTTGTTCATGTGCTCGTCAATGTAAGACAAGTATCTGTTTCATGAGAGTTATCATACATGTATATTAATGGATGATTGTTCAAAAACATTGATCTGTATTGTTTCACCGATGTATGATGTATGTGATAAAGTAACAGAAAGTAGTGATACATGAAACTTGTATGTAATTCCACCGTGATGAACCACTGTTGCTGTCTTTTGAAAAAAGTGAAGTTTCTGATTTATCATCCTTCATATCTAAAAATAGAACACAATTGCCAATACGATTATATTTGTTTAGCAGTTCATTTATTTCAGAAATAAAAACAAAACATATGAAAAACATTGTCCATTTTGTAATCGGTTTCTGAATACCTGACAAACATTATCTTAACATTATGTCTAAAATAAAGCTCTTGTATGGTACGAAAATCAAACAGATAAAATTCAAAGATGAATTTTAAAACAAAATATGGTGGCTGTATCTCGGATTCTGATGCAAAAAGTGAATTTTGAAAACATTTGAGCCGTGTCACGACAAAACCAACATAATGTGTTTGCGACCAGCATGGATCCAGACCAGCCTGCGCATCCGCGCAGTCTGTTCAGGATCCATGCTGTTCGCTTACCAACTCAATTAAAAGTAGAGAAACTGATAGCGAACAGCATGGATCCTGATCAGACTGCGCGGAGTCATTGTTGTCCCTTTGTGTTGTTTTGCATTTTCTGATTTGTGGCGAAAACGCAAATTCACGGCATGACGTATATCAGCTACCATACATGTACTAATGACACAAATTTACCTTTTCTTTACAGTTTTTTTTTAACATAGAAAAAAAGAAAATGGAATTCACATTTTTCTTAAATCAAATTCACCCGTAAAAATAATACAAATCAGCATTAAAAATGCGATTGTTGAGATGTTTTTGTGCGTTATGATCAATGAGAATGCTTTCAACAAATTAGTTGCCTTTGTTATTTTGATAAACAAAGCAATACTATACATACCCCGTTTAGGTTCCTTGTGATTTTTTCTATCTGTAATAAAAACAAAAGTAAATGTACTATAAAACTAAAGTATATTGTTATATATATATATGCCTAATTACTATAGGTACTCCACATATCTATCAATATGAACATATATATTTCAAATGAGTTTGAAGCTTTATATCTCTAGATTCTTGCTAATTTTGATGAAAATCATTTGAAAATGTGTTAAAATTAACGTGTAACACGTGTAACTTGCTGTTCAGTTGTCTGTTCAGAGACTTAAGAAAATTAGCATACATGTATGCCTTACTCATGCATTTGAATGGCATTACGTTATATTATCAAAAGTCTATTGGACCTTTTGATTAATGTTCGTCAAGGGATTGACGAATTTAATTTCTTCTTTTCTTCTATTTCGGACTTGGATTTTCAATATTGATAAAATTGTTAATACAGTTACTCAATGCAATCAATTATTTGCTTTTAACTCAAAATGCTATATTTTGACATTTTACGTTATCATCTTTTCCACCCCTATTTGAACTTACCATTTAAAACGTGCACTTTAAAACCTTCCGCTAATACTTTTGTTAGTCGGCAGACATAATGTCCTCTGTCCTCCATCGTGGCTTTTTCAATTATGATTTCACTTATTAAAGACCGCCCTGGTAAAGGTTTTTTGTTTATTTCATATAACCGTCCATGCCATCGAGGGTTCATTTCATTAATTGGATCACCATTAAAGAACCAATCAACACCATCCGGAGCTGTTGATGATCCTGTAGCATTACATATAAGATGAACGTTTTCCATTAGACTAACGTACTTCGTGCCCTGCAATCGTAACTCTGAAAACATTGCAATACAGATGTACAAGTTAAAGTATTTTAATATTGATCTCAATGATTGTCTTTCAGTAAGCAATGACTCTTGACAAAGACGTTCAAATATAAAAACTGAACGATATTTTTTATTGATTGCTTTTAAGCAAAAATGAATCCGAGCGAAAAAAATGCATGGTTTACATTGGCCCTCGATGGTATGCAGGTGGTTCTTACTATGTACGACTAAGCAAGCGAAAGTTTTTACTAGATTATATTTGGTTAATAAATGAAAAGTTAGTTCATAGATGTCTGATGTCAATTCAAGTCCCAAAGGAATAGAATTTAGTACGTAAATATTTCAAAAGAATACTTTTTTTGTCATTTTAATTGTTAACATTACATTTTTACTATACGATTACAACAATAATATTGAAGCTGAATATCTTACCTGGTTTATATTCAACTGGATCTGAAATATAAAATTAATTTAAATTTATTTTAGAAACATCAATGTCTGATTCAATTACAAATTTAAATGTGTTTGATAAGATATGGTTTCTTGAATTTTTATTTTAGCTTTGGTCATATGACTTCGAAACAGGAAAGGTGTTTTTTGCTGATCTCGGGTGATACAAAACTATTGGTTAATACCACATAAGCTCCTGGAGCTAAAATAAAATAGAGAAAAACGAAGTCCCTAAAAAACGCCCAAAACGACAAAATTGAAAATGTTGCAGACTCGGTGGGATTGAGTCTGTACATGGACGGTACTGGAAAGTGCAAGTTACCGTCCACGCCCCCTAGCACCGGCTTAAGCAGATTTCAACATTTAAACATGAAAATGGTAACATTTTGAATTTAGAAACATCCGCAGATGTGTTTATACTATGATGCGCATAGACTTCATTAATTTTAACCTATTTAATCGCCTCTTACGATTACGCAGCGATAAACAGTCTGCATTTCTGATGCCTCAACCCCTCAACCACAAGGGACAATATTTAAGCCAATGTTTCCAAAATGCAATGTTATTCTAACACACGGAATATGTTTACCCTATCCTGACACATTACAGTAAGGTGTTGGTAAAAGAAGTTGAAAATAAAAAAGCCTTTAGATATATATTCTTTCGGGGGAAAATAGAAACAAAAATATCAGTTTTCACTTTACCTAATACATGCAACGTTATATTTTGTGTGTAATTTTCCATTGCACTAACTCGGCACTCGTATGTACCCGCCTGTTCTTGTTGAACATCTTTTATGATAAGGTCATATCTGTCCTCTTCACCATCAGCGTCTTCGATTGACTCTGTTTGTATCTTGATGTTCTTATTGGGCGTAAATGACATTTTCCCCAAGGTCAGTGGAGACTCGTCATTTGCTTTTCTCCACACGACCTGTAAAAGAGACAAGACCGGAATACCTTAAGAACGCCCTAAAAGGAAAAAATTGAAAATGTTGCAGGCTCGGTTTGATTAAGCCTGTTCATGAATAGAATTAAAATAACCATAAAAGAAAGCATGTTTTAGAACAGAAGCCACAAACATTTCTGTTTGTAGATTTGAGTTATGGGGATTTTCTATGTCTTTCTAACAATTGCCTAACAAAGTTAAAAACATATTTAGGTTGGCATAGAGTGACACATTTGTGGTGAAAGTAGAATTAAGCGGAATAAATTCAATTAAGTGTCCATTAAATGTTTCCTGGAAGTTAAAAAATCAGAAGAAAAACTACTTTAACACATTTATTAAAAAGAAAAACCGAAGTATGACATTTTGATAAAATTGGATATTTAAACTGGATATTTTTAAAAATGAATATCTTTTACAATCAATTGCCTAAATACCTAGAGCAAAGTTGTCTTGTTCAGTATAAAAAGTGTCGTTGAACGGATTAATCCTTATAAGGACTTGTAAAAGGTTTAGCTTACTTGGACTTCTTGTCAAATTTCAGAAGCAAGAATAAAAAAGACGCATTAATTATTAATTAAATATAGCACATCGTCAGTAAAAGGAGGGAAAAATACGGTGATTTTTTTATAATATTTCATTAAGAACATAAGGAAAATTGAGAAAGAGTTTAATAACAAGTTTTGCTTCTTGTCACTGATCAAGGCAAAAACTTTCAATATGTACTTGAAATAATTAGCTTCTTTGAAGTTCAGCAATTTAAAATGGACCGGAAAACACATGTTTATAAAAAGAAGATTAAGTCGTTAATCAGAAGAACACTTGTCGATTAACATTTGAAAGATAGATAGTAAATTGCAGTCCGGAAGTGCAGCAAGCACTTAAATCCAAATAGGTTACTATTTTCCCAGAAATGATGCTCAGTGTTAGACAGGTACATATAATATTTTGAAAAAAGGAAATTAAACCTAAAACAAGGGAATTATTTTAGTAACATTTTAACAGTCATAATGAGTCTAAGATATTGTTAAAATGCACAAATCGTTGTACAACATCAGAAAGATGTTGTACGTTTTTATCAACAATAAACAGAATAGCTTTTCAGCCATAAGTTTGTTGGGTTTTTTTTTTTTTTTTGGTGTTGAGGAAGCTCCCTTTTCCGGAAGTTTCGTATCAAAGATTTTAACACCATTTATTAGCCACATAACAATACTTTCATACAAGGCATCCTACATAAAATTATTTTAAAATAAGTGAATAAAGTACCATTTTAGGTCCAAGATTGGTGATTCGACATCGTAGCCGAGCAGTTTCCCCCTCATGGACGGTTATATTTGTAGGTACTGGCAGAAAACTAGGAATAGATGATGGATAATGGCGGTAGAAACTTTCCCTCGAATCTGAAATATACAAAAACTACATTGTAAAATCAAATAAAAATACTGCTTTGATATAATGTGTACCTTGTGCCTAATCATGTAAAACTTACAACACAAGATTTGAAATAGCTCTAAATGCTTATTGTCTGCTCATCTTAACGTTCGTGCGTTTGATCACATAAAGGCTGTACAATAGATACTTGTATACAGCATTTAGTAAAGTGACAATACTCTCTTTGGAATATAATATCCTTATTTTATTAATTTTATAACACCCGGCTTTTCGAATTGTTTGCTTCAGATTTTCTTGCAATCTTGAGATTTCCACAAGTCTACTCCTATCAAAAAGCCATACATAGAAATACGTTGTCGGATCCAGTAATAACTCATTCTTCCTATCTCTAATGCAAAGTCTAATTTATGGCAGTTGATAGTTTTCTATATTCAGTTTTCATTATCTTTATTCTGTCTTATATTAGACTATTTTTGTCTATACAATAACTTAACTGTTGATTCCAGACTTGTTCAATATGTTTCTCGTTCTGCCAAGTGTCTGTCAAGTGTAATTGATCACGTGTTAACTGACTGACAATAACCACAAGACTGTCGAGACGGTGTTTATGATGGAAAGTTATTGCAACAGTCTGGTATTTCTTAAGATAATGTTCCTGGGCAAACTTAATTTTGACCTAGCATGATGCTTATTTTATCCATTTCTTTAAAAGCTTATATATATATATATACATAATACAAAACATGCCTTTCAGTGAAAGTAAAATTAATATACCAATTGAATGACGTTATCGTCTACTAGTATTTAAGATTATGCGTACATTATATTTATATTAATTTGCCTTTTAAAGCATTGATTTGTATTTTACATACAGCTGTAGCTGAAGTAACTTTTTGATAATCGCTAAAGTGGCGCGTAGGTTATAAATTCATTTTGTTACATTTTTTGTCAGGAAGAAAATCACAAGGTTTAGTTCTCTGTACCAACTACTGGTAGAAAGTTAATTTTACGTCAGCCTTGATTTGGAGATTTGATTTAATAGTTCAAAATAGTTTGAATCGATGAGTTCATTAATACATATCAGTATGAATGTCTCCATTTTATTTGGTTTTAAAATCGTCAAAGATCTTTGCTTTGAAACATAAATTGTAAGTTTAATGTCACGTCAGTCTATTATTTTGTCAAATTTCGTAATAAATGTGAATGCATGAATGTGATCCACTCAATGAAATTCAATGGTGAATGATGAAACACGAAAGAAAGATGTTTACCAATTAAATTTTAAGTCTATGGTATCTGATTACCGCGCACATTAACAATTTTTCAACAATTTTCCATTTCGACGTTTGTTTTTGAGCTTGCTTGTGATTATACGTTGTTTATGACATGATTTTAAATACAAATGATACTAAAGAATAAGTACAAAGAGGTAGATTTGTGTCTGTTTTACTGCACGATTATTTTTGTAAGCAGATCGTCATAAGTGATACCAAAATCTAAATTGATCATATATAGGGAAGTAATGATTTGAAATAGACGTGTGCTTAAAAGTTAAATATATTTAAGATTAATATAATGTTTTCTGAAAACATATACATATGCAAAAGCGTTTCTAAATTACAAATAAATATCTTTGACTTATATTGTAATTATTTCACAACTAGTTTACTCCCAAATATGAACTCATATGGTAACAAAAATTAATGCGACAAATGACTTTAATAAAAAACTCATGCTTAAGTAAACTTGCCAGATTAGGAATATAATTTAAAGCAAGGAATGTAAATAGGGACATAAAGCAGGTTGGTAAAGTAGACGTAACTGCAACTTTAAAGCGGTTCGAGTCAATTAAACAATTTAAGATGCATAAAAATGATGATAAAATGTGTTTAAAAAACATTTAACTTTAGACATGGAGCTATACAATAAAAATGTAATATGTCGACTAAAGCGTAGGTAAGTAGATATTTGTATTTCTAACATTTTTTTAGTTTTAAATTGTTTGTGCTACACAGTAAGACATAGTGTCATACATTAATAAATATGACCCTGTTTCGTTGTCTAGGTGACTAAAGACTTTCGCCCCATCGTAACGGTTAGATTATTAAACAATAAAAAAGAAAAAGATTGCGAAAACAATTGAAAATTAGCATAGTATATTATTTCGAAATGTTCACGAAAGACAATAAAAATGATAAATTTACATTCCAATGTAACGCAATCCTGGCTTTGTAGAGCGTTTGTGAACAATCTATAATGTCCACACAACCTTGTATGGTTAATAAGGACGCAACCATTGATTTTTACAGATAATCTTATTTCAAATGAGATTGTTAGTGTCATTAATGATGGGTTACAATTCGTTAGATCGCAATTTAACTGTACTATGTGTCTAATGTAAATACGCAAACATTCCTGGAAGTCTTACAAGAGGGGCTGGTAAACGTGAGTTTGACATTCCCACATTCCATACAATACAACGACGTAACACAATTGGTGTTTGAAAACGTAACAGTTGTTAGATATTTACTTTTACCCGAATATAGTATATATATGGAAATGACATTGCTTTTCTCATTATATAAAGTTGTGAAGGAAATGTAACAAAAATGAATGTGCGTTGCTGCAGCAAGTCATTTTTACAGGGAGGCTTTGACGTTTTTGCAGCATAAAGCATTGGATAAAGAGTAAAAATATAATAACGTTTACGTTATTCCTGAATAATGAGGATTGGGTAACACTTTATATCTCAATATAAAATGAAACCGAAAAATGCCTCGGCAATGTTGTACTTTTGAATTCAGTATGTATGGAATGATACGCAATACCATTACATCATTTCAGAATTCTGATTTCGAATGCAAGCTCATTGTTTTCTATTTTTCATCTTCAATTTGAGCATAAAACAAATATTTCGCCAATATAAGCAATGAATTTATCTTAATATTAGAACCGTACGTGCCCAAAGACGAACACTGAACAAATATGAATATAGTATTCGATAGGAATAATCAACGTGTTTTCATTGATACAAGCACGTTGTTGTTGTTGTTTTGTAATATGTCTGAATCTTCCGAGAGAGAAGACAGTTTGACATCAATTATTTTACATGTATCTAACTTCTCCATTTTCTTATAGCATCAATATGTCAAATGTCATACTATAGGTTAATAAGCTAATTAAGTAATTCTTGACAACTAAGTCTACAATATGAAATAAACAAAGCTATATATTGAAAGGAATAGAATAGGAATTGCAGACAAATAAATTGTTGGTGTCAAGAAAATAAATAAAAACGCTTTGCTTAAACTTTGCGATAACTTTCATATTTCAACATTTGCAAATATCAGTATATATAAGACCCATACAAAGATGTTTGGCATTACATACATGTAAACACAACATTGAAATAACGCTATGTCATAGAAATATGCAAAAATATTAATAATAATCACGTTAGTGTACTAAATCATGAGCTACATATCATTTGTAAATCTATATTTTATGACATGTGCTAAATCGGCATATGCTTTTAACAGAAAGTGATCGACTTGTTTGATAAAGCACATTAAAAACAGCTTTTTATAGCAATAATATTCATACCAATCTTTTTAAATACATAAGCGATATGTCAATAAAAACATAAATGGAAGATTTGGATAATAAGATATCTATCCATCTAGCATGAAGTAGTAAAATTAACAAAAAATGATGAAATTTGTTTGTTTGCCGACATCAATAAAGTTTCTTTACTATAAATAATAAATAAATACACTAAACCTGATTTATTTCTCCTGTTATTATTTATAAACAAGATAACACTTATATTTTCGGTTTATGTTTTCAATATTGTCAAACTTTAATATCATTTTGCTTTTGGATTTTTTCTGTAAGTTCATGTATAAGTTACCTCTTTTTTATATAAAAGAACGATTATATTAAAAGATCTTTAAATCCAAACGTACAGCATGAAAATCAATTGCCAATATAACTAGTTATGAAGATAATGATACATAATGTACACATTTTGACTAACAATGAATTGTTTACTAGTTTCTTAACCTGCACAGAGACAAAAAGGAAATCTTAAAGAAAGTCTAAAATGGATCAGGCTTGGTTTAATTGAGTCTGGTCATGGACGGTAATGGGAAGTGCAAGCTACCATCTACACTGCCTAGTATCAGCTTAAAACACGGAAAAGAAAAGGATTGCAAAATATCTTACATCTTCGATAATATTGCTTATGGTTTTCTGCCATATTCATCTGATGCAGAGTTCTATTTTTTCAGCTAAGATACAAACAATAATTCATATGAGCACCAGTCTGATAATTGCACGAATATTTCGTGCGAACAATGCATTTGTATGCAAATGATTTCTGGCCTTAATCCCTGTAGACTTTATGTTAATGTGTAGAGATTGTATGGCGTTATCTGTAAATTGTCCAGGGTAAGATGCAATTTTGACAGACAAAAATCGTACTGAACATTTTAACACTGATTTCCTTTCATGAGAAAATGAACAGGCAAATGTATAACAATATTCTAGTGACAATTAGATTACTTTGAGTACATTATTTAAATAAGACGTATACTCATAGAGAACACATCTGCTGATACCTTTTCCTTTTATGAATAACTATATAAACAAATGTCTCCCTAAAACTGTTTAGGAGAGAGAAAACATTATCCTTCGCAGCAATTTATATCTGAAAGACCATATGAGATACAATAATCAATTCGTGATCCGAAAATTGAATAACAATTTTGATTTGAGCGGTTTAAGAATAAATATAAAGCCAACCTACTGATAAATGGTTTAAATATTCTGATAAAAAAAATACTTTTGATGAAATATTCACTTGCCTGAAAAAAGTAGCAGTCACTGCGATAGGGTCTTTCCATTTGAATTGAAAAAAAAAATGTTACATTTAATCTTTTTGTGACTCTAGTGGTCACGTTCTTTACTCATAAAATATCATTTCGTATTTATAATGTACACACATTTC